CTGCTTTCCTCGTAATTGCGGTGTCTTGACTGGGGAAAGACCTTGGCTCTCTGATCCGAGAGATTCGCAATTATTTTTTTTAAACAGAAGTTTTCATAGAATCATAGAATGGGTTGGGGTTGAAGGGGGTCACCCAGCCCAACCCCCCTGCAGGAGCAGGGACACCTTGAACCACATCAGGTTGCTCACAGCCCCCTCCAACCTGGCCTGGAATGTTCCCAGGGATGGGGCCTCCACCCCCTCTCTGGGTAACCCCTGCCAGGGTTTCACCACCTCACTGCAAAGAATTTCTTCCTTAGATCCGGTCTAAACCTCCCCTGCTTCAGTTTAAAGCCATCCCCCCTTGTCCTGTCCCAGCTGGCCCTACTAAAAAGCTTGTCCCCCCCTTTCCTCTGGGCCCCCTTGAAGCCCTGACCGGCCGCACTCAGCTCTGCCCGCAGCCTTCTCTTCTCCAGGCTGAACACCCCCAACTCTCCCAGCCTGGCCTCAGAGCAGAGGGGCTCCAGCCCTCGGATCATTTTTGTAGCCCTCCTCTGGACAGAATTTTGCAGAATATCATTCAAGCTCCTAAACATCAATATACAGTCAATAAAAATGTTTAGTGGCACAGGAAAAAAAACAGATCAGCAGTATCAGAGTATAATCTGCTATAACTGTTTCAATCAATGCCACCCAGGTATGCATCCCGCTGCCCCAAACCCGCCGTGCCTCGAGCACATGGGTGAGCAGCTCAATCGAATGAAAAGTGCCCCACTCAAACACAGTCCATCCTTTTTGAACAAGCTTAACTGTGAGAGGCCATTGAAAAGCCTTAGAAAATGGTGACAGCATCCAAGAAAATGCTAAGGAAGAAGCAGACAGGACTGAGCGATGCTGTTCTTGCACAGCAGGAGTGGGATAAAGAGGAGGACACCATAGTATTTTGTGTTAATTGGGATGGGATTTGCTTCCAGCCTCTCCTGTTTTCTCCTCTTGCAGTTTTTGTAACATACTGTGCCCAAAACATCTGGGCTATAGGAAGATTCATTGCCAGCCACTGAAAGTGCAGCTCCAACAAAAAGTTATTGGCGTGTCTATAAATAGCTCCTGTGACAGCGAGAAAATTAAAATCTCAAGTTCATCCCTGACACAAGCTCTTTAAATGGAAGAATGAGGTGCTCTTGCCTTAAAAGCCTGCCGGGGTATTAGCGACGTCCTTTCAGAACAAAGGTACTTAGGTCTTACAGAGATTTTACTGCCTTTTACCGAGGCAGATGAATGTATTCCCTGCCATTTCACCGACCCACAGCGCAGGGAGGTGCGGTGACATTTGGAGGTCAGGCAGCAAATCAAGGGCACGGTGCTGTGCCTCTGAAGAGGCTTTGCAAAGGTTTCTCTTGTTCAGCCTAAGAGCTGCTTGCTGATGTGCTCAAAGTACCCAAAGGGTTTGGTTTTTTTTTTTTTTTAGATTGATGAGACGGTGCCAGTAGTTAGCTCAAGGTGTAGCTGCAGAGATGTCACCTTCCCCGTGGTGACGAAGGCGTACGGCAGTGCCGTGTGACAGTGATGCTGCCCAGAAGATGCTGCCCAGGCTCGGCTAAAAATCGGCCCTAGCGCATCTCCCCGGCGGCATCGCGGCTCCACCGCAGAGCGGTGCAGCTCCCGGGCCGCTCTGCAGAGCTGAACCACCCAAACCACCACGAGGGATGGGTGCCTGCATGGCCCCCTTGGGAACGTACCTCCTTCTGGTGTGGGGAACTCCTTAACTTCACTGCGTGGCCCATCTCCTCTCCCGTTGGTTACAACCATCTCAAGCTTGTAGTTGCTGTAAGGAAACAGCCGGGACACTATGCCCCGGTTTCGGTCTCCAGGAAAACTCACATACTGCCGTTTTTTGGAGACCCACAGGTTCTTCAGCAAACTACTGTCTCTCCAGAAATAGGCCTTCAAGAAACATGCATGGCAAGTGAAGCTTTTCCCATTTAAGTGCAATTGGTTTTTCATTAACAAAGCATAGCAAAACCGTTGCCTTCCCAAAGAGCAGCTCTCAGCTGCAGAAGGCTTTTAGAGCAATTAATGAAGCTCCGCGTCCCCCAGCGAGGCAGGTCGGTGGTGTTACCCGAGGAAAAGGCTGAGCTAAAGCACTTCAATTTGGTTAAGTGCTTACCAAAGGTCACAGAGCAAAACCAGCTAAGCTCAGCCTACAAAGAGCTGTTTCTGGCTCCCAAGCACGAGGCATCCAGTGCCTCTCCCTTTCTACCCAGATTAGTACTGCAGCGGCGTACAAGGAAAGGTGGGACGCGTCCAGGCACAAAGGAAAGGCTGAACTTGGAAAGGCTCCCAGTCGAAGTCCTGACTGTAAAGCTTATTTCATGCAGAAAGAAGATTCATTCAGAAAATAGACCAGAATGACAGAGCAGAGGCAGAAAAAAAATAACGGCAGCAGTACCCAGGGAGCCTGCTTTATGCTGAGCGGATTATTGGATTGGAAATGTTATAACTGTTTGCAGGACACGTGGTTTTGGTAATGTCTTAAACGCTGATAGAAGGAGCTCTGTCCAGACTGTTGCTTGCCTTGAACGGGGTCCATCCTCTGTACCAAAACACTGGTATTGTACCTTAGCAGTAAATAAACAGACGGGATCCACGCTGTCTTTAGTTGCCAGTTAGTACGAACTGCTGGGTTTAGGCTTTGCAGGGGTTGGTGTTGATTAAAAGACGGTGTAGGTACTTTGGGGATGACACAAAAACTAGCCTGTTTGTACCTGTCAGAGGTCATTCCCCCCCAGAGCCAGCCAGCCCATGGTTCTGGGCAGCTCTAGAGCCTCATAGCATGGGCAGGACCCCCCC